ATCAAATGCTAACGCAACACCTGTTGCGTTCAGGAAACCTGGGAGATTCAAGAATACAATAATGGCAGGTTATCGAAATATAATTGAAAATGGCCACATGACATTGAATTTGATGCAATATATTAGCAAAAGTAAAGGAAAAATAAATAATACTTTTTTTAAATAATGCAATGAAATTATTTAGGGGGGCTAAAGACACTTTTAGGGAGGCTGAAGCCTCCCTAAAATAGGCCTAATGACGCCGATGGGAAAAGCCTAATTTGGACAATTCCGATCTGAAATATTTGTTAGGAGGCAGGTGAATAGCTGACTTGAACCACTGATATTTCACTTCGTCTCAAAACACGACAGACACAGGAGAGCGAAAACAAGTTTGAGGAGAAATGTTATGGGTATGTTTTCGTCGCAAGTGAGAATACCTCGTGCATTAAGCAGGAAAAAGGAATAAAATAAAGGAGAAAAACGTGCAAAATGACATTTCACAGATATATAAGGTAGAGAAGGGTCAGTATGTCCGCCGAAACAAACAAACAAAAATTTGATTGTTGAATTGGGATACCTTGTTGGAGACAGGACAACAAATCGGGATCATCTTGATAGAGGAAGAATAAGTCGGCTTGTGGGGAAAAAAAGGACCTGTTCCGTAAACTACAGACGTTTCAACAAATTAATCGAAAGTCGACATTTCAGCAGTTGAATTGGGAACGTTACGGTTGTGTTTGGGCCTATGGTCTGTGCCTCAGACAACTTGATTAAAAACAAAACAAAACGTTAAAACAACAGCAACAAACAAACAAACAACAGGAAAGTATATGAATTCCTATAAGCGTGAACGCATCACGCTTGGGGGCTGTGATCTTGTGCTTCCAGACTGGATGGCAGCAGTCAAGCATGGGACACAGCAGCAAGCAGTGAGCTCTCCAGGCGGAGGACAGCCCTCAACCTGTATGTGCACGCTCACTTCAACCACTTGTATTGAGCGGCCTCTTTTCATCACTCGTTGACATTCATTTGGGGGTGGCGGTAAAAGAAACAAGAACGACGTGGGACTGACTTGGTATCAGTCCCTGTAGGAGGATGGAGATAGACAAGAGGACGAATGGGTTCGACTACCCGGAGAGAAACAACGCAAAGCCGGTTAACGGTAGGCGAACAGCAACGGTTGGATAGAAGTTGACCTGTCGGGATAGCCCCTTGTCACTGAACACATCTGTTCAAACCAACTTGTCGCGGATGGGTTGACCACAACGCCACCTGTGACACAAACCACTGTTCACTCTAGTCAAGTTACAAATTTTATTTCTGGAACTCATTGTGCGGCCAGGTTCTCTTGTGTCATTTTTGTGTTTCTTATGTTACGTGGGGATGTTTTTTGCTTTTAAAGAGTGCCGATGAATGTTTAGGTGCGTCTCCGTGACTTGGCTTTCCTGTTCCTTGAAGTCTGTGTGCATGCCCGCGCGCGTGCGTGTTTTAGGAACAGAGGTCGGAATGTTTTTATTTGGTGGTGGTCAGTCAGGCGCGGGGTGATCGTAAAAGGTGAACTTTTGAACTTGGAAGAAACACTGACGCCATTAGTCCCCAAATCCGGTTTTGCACGCGCTCCATAAAATGGAAAAGCGCCCAAATGAAGACGGTGAGAATCAGAAGATGACAAATTTCGATTAGCATCCCTTTTGAAGTCAGCTGTGCTTCCGGGGCCCGTAAAGTCCCCAGCCCACAGTGCGCTTGCAAAAAGATGAGCCCCTGGCCCATATTAATACTAACTGTGCCTTACAGCATTGTCTGTGTTAGGCGCCAGTCCATATCGTACCCCCACGCGGGTGACTAATGATTTATTGACATTCCCAAGATTAAAATTCCTCTAATCCCCATGACGGATGTGGACACCCAATTGTGAGGTTTGTTTGATTTGTGCCTGTCGTTTGATTGGGGAAGAATAATTGACTGAAGTTATCCCAATGAAATACAAAAGGCCTGCAGATCCTGTTAATCATGCTCAAAAATATTGCAATGTGATCCTTTAAAAAAATAATAAACTAAATATTGTAATCATTTGGGCAACACTGTGTATGAGCCACGTGTACTGTAATTACATGTAGCAGAAACTGATATTTTGGGACTGAAAAGAATACAATTAGAGCAATTGAAACGGATTTACATGGGACATGGGTCTTTTTTCGTCAATGGACGCTACAGCTTCTTGTTTACTTTGAAACTTAGCTTGCAGCCTACCTGTGCACATTTTGAGCATGACATAACTTTGATCCACTGGCGAAAACGACACTTTGAATCTCTCCTCTTTCATCTAGAACTGCTTTAAACAACAAAGCGTATGAGCGAATAGTGGTTAAGATTGCACGACTGTCCGTGTTTTTATGTTGTGTGTTGTGTTTTTTGTTTACTTTATGTTACAGTAACTGTTTTGTAAAGCCCGTTGTTACAGCTGCAGCTATTGTGAAAGCGCTATATAATTCAGGATGTATTGTATTGTATTGTAATTAAAAAAAAAAACTGTATTCAAACATTCCCTTCTAAATCATGAAAATTTTAACATTTGCAAGCATTTATTTTCAAAATCATCATCTGACCCATTGTAGAAGTAATTCCCCATTTGGCGCCTAACTGGCACAAGCAACATCACATTAGTGAACATATTAGTGAACATATTGTTCTTGATAATGTACAGTACATAATGGTGGTTATGTGGTTCATAAGTTACATGTAGAACTGAAGCTGTATTATTCCCCCACCCCCCATTTAATAATGAAATTATGTCAAGATCTTAACCGAGTTAATTTCTTGATTAACTGATTGACTTTTTAAAGTGGTACTGTTTTCCTGACGTTTTGACTATTTGATCAATTTGCAGATGGTTGTCTACTGATAATATTTCCCTTATTGCTTCATATGTTAAAGTCCAGCTGGTTAACCTGTCACTTGCTGGATGGCGAAGTGCAGAACTGTTGACTATTTAAGCTTTTCTATTACCTCACATTGTTTTCCAAACAAAGCGGCTTAACCCCCCCCCCCTCCCTCCTTCATCTACCTTCTGTTGCAGCTCCTCCACAGAGCCACATTTGAAGAACAAATTCAATTTTTATTGATATTTGAATTGAGAAGGAATTTCACTCCACCTTCCTGCTCGATGAAGTGTGCAGGTTTTAATGTAATTAAGTTCACTGGAAGTCGAGGACAAAGCAGAAAGGCAGATTGGTGAGGAGGCTTGCATATGTTTTGGCCCTGGGGGGTTTGCAGCCTGGCATGGTGGGGCAGATAGGCTGAAAGAAAGTGCTTTGTCAGCTCCTGCTTTGGCTCGGGTGTAAAGAAGTTGGCTCTCGGATTTGTCCTGTCCCTTGGGATAGGGTGAAGGGGACGGCTGGCAGTGGGTGGGGCACTGACAGGATGCAACCACCCCCGCCGAGATGCTTGAATGATGAGCCAGGAGGAGTACAGTAGAAAAGGGACACATGCAGGAGCTGGGTGCAGGGGTCGAGGGTGGAGGCCATTCATGCTGATGTGATACATCATGGAGGGGTTTTCTCCACTCTATGGTTTGACAACATACTCTTTGTGATCAAGCGATCTGATTTTATAACAACCCCATGCAAAATTCATCAGTTTTTTACAGAGTTGTTGTGTTAGAGGGGGAAAATCTCTCTCTCTCTCTCTCTCTCTCTCTCTCTCTCTCTCTCTCTCTCTCTCTCTCTCTCT